CAAGCTTACCGAATCTTTTCTGGGTGGTATGTATTCATCATGTTCATCATCACTCGGTCCACCATGACTTGTTGTTGATGAAAATCCACTTGAACGCCTTCTATAATTATGATATGCTGCAGTAAGTATATCAATTTGTTGCTGTTGTTGCTGTGGATTAAGTGCTGATGAACCATTATTTTGATTCATTCTTTGTCTTATAAGACATGCTGGTGGTATAGAACCATTTGAAGCATTTGGATAAGAAGCACGCATTAATTTATAACGAGGATCATTTGCATAATGGTGTTGGTCATCATGAGAATTATTTGTTGATAAAAGTTTAAGTGTTTCTGGATTAAGATAGGCTGGCATTTTATTATGATTGCCATTATTTGAATTGGATCGACTAATATAATTCTGAAGTTCATTTATAGCATTATTTGTAGTTTGCTGTTGATGATGGTACTGTTGCTGTTGTTGCTGCTGCTGATGTTGTTGCTGCTGTTGTTGTTGTTGTTGCTGTTGCTGTTGCTGCTGCTGTTGTTGTTGCTGTTGTTGTTGTTGTTGTTGTTGTTGTTGTTGTTGTTGTTGTTGTTGATGAGCTTGAGCTGCAGCTTGTACAGCAGCATGCCAAAATTTCGTTTGAGCTAATAATTTATTTTGAGCTACGGCTGCAGCTGCTGAAGGATATGTTGGTGGTGAGCTACCACGTCTTTGTAAGGATGGTGATAGATTGTTTATATCTGAATTAACACGTGGATTTAATGATGGAGGTGCTGGTGGTAAATATGTGGAACGTTGTTGATTAACCATCATTTTATTTGGATTTGATGAATGATGATGTCGATTACCATTGTATGATTGTGATTGTTGTCTATATGATGATAAAAGCCATTCAGCATGTTGTTGTTGCTGCTGTTGCTGTTGTTGTTGCTGTTGCTGCTGCTGCTGCTGTTGTTGTTGTTGTTGTTGTTGTTTATATCTATCTGTACTAAGTGCAACTTTTTTTGGAATTGGAAGACCTGGGTCATTCGTATATGCTGCTGAAGTATGCCGATGTGGTACAGGTATCGATTGTTGATTCGACGATTGTGACGACATCGTTTGTTGTTTATGTTGTTTAATCATTGCTGCTGTTGCTGCTTGAGAATTTAAAAATGCTCGATATGCTGCTGGATCAGTTACACCAGCTGACATCATTGCTGCAGCAACGGACAATTGATTAAGTGTTGATGATGAACCATTTCCATGCGAATGTTCATTAACACGTGTAGCAGTTTTTGTCACAGAAGTTGTTGAATGACGATGATAGTTATTTGATAATGTCGATGAATTTGATTCTAGATTCTGTTCGGAATTTTGTGTTAATGCTGATGATGAATTAAGATTTGAAACAGCCGCAGCTGCAGCAGCTGCTGCAGCAGCCGCTCGTTTTCGTTTTAAACTATATTTTTTATATGGTGAATTATTTTTAAATGATGGATTTATTGTCCAAACATATTTAACTGGACCTTTGGATAATGATGATATAACAGGCACACGTATAAATTGATTGTGCAAAGATAAATTATGTCGAATTGAATTCTATTAAAAAAAATTTATACAAAAAAAAATGGATTCTTTTTTTTTCTACAAAAAAAAAATTACCTTCCATCCCCAGCTTGTTTTTGCATCGATTTTATCTTTAAAATATGGTACAAATTTAATAATCCATTCATATACTTCATTTAATGTTAAGCGTTTCCATGGACTACTATCAATAGCACGTGTAATCAATTGAGCATAAGATAGATTACCCCATGGATTACGATAAGTTTTATTTATACCAATTCCAAGTTCTTGTATAACTGATTTAGCTAAACGTTTATCATATTCAGCAAGTATATCACGTTTCTCTCTTCGATGACGTGGCCATGTATTAAAACGTAAACGATCACGATGAGAATTATTACCGGATCCAGTTGAATCAAGAAGTGAGGTACTCTGTGAATAACGTCTACGAGCAGGACGAAGAGATGCTGGTGTCTGAGATGCTTGAATATTTGAAGATGTTGGTGATGGTGAACGATCTGAGTAAACTTGTCGATGACACATTGTATCTGGTGGTGAGTCAACAATTAATGATGAGTAATCGCCAGTATTAGACGGAATATAATGATGATTAGACATATCCTCATCGTTGTCATCATCAACAACAAGTGAAATGTCAATTGGGTGACGAGAGTGATGCATAGTCGGCACTGCTTACTATCTGACCATTTGGCCGCCAATGACTGTTAACTTACAAAGCATCTGGAAAAAAAATGAGAGAAAGAAATTCAACATTTTTTTCTCATGGGAACCATCTGGTATATGTATGCACGGATGCATAAATATATGTATTGATCGAAAAAAATACTCATTGCTATTATGTAAGAAATAATATAGAAAAGAGAGTTCAACTTCTCTGGGGTCTCTCGAAATGGATATAGTAAAAATGTCACCCTTAACTGCACTGCTGGCAGAAGAAGAAGAGAAAAAGGGAACGAGGAAAAAAAAAAGTTGACCCTTATACCTTCTATCGCTCGCTTGTGTGCGTTCGTTTTTTTTTTCTTCTTTTTCTCTCGTGTTGCATGCATGGAAACGGCGCGAGAGCAAAAACACAATCACAGAGAGCGTCGTCCGATGATGCATTCCGCCAACGAGTACGCTCCTCATTTTTTTTTATGTTATGTGCTCAAGCGCACGTCAATACTCATTTCTTTCTCATATTTTTTTTATGCATTTTGCTTACACGGCGCGGCCGAAAACAAAAGGAAAGCGCGACCTCTCTCTCCCTCGTATTCTTGCATATATATATATATATATATATATACGCAACAAAAGTCATCATGAGATTTTTTTGACGAGAGCGATAAGCCTGACCGCAAAAGTTTACAACTAGTAAAAGCAAGAACAAAAAAAAAAGAAAGGAATTGATAGAACACCGTTGCAAAAATATACCTATGCAAATAAAAAGGAAGAAGAAGAAGAAATAGTCTTAAAATAAACGAGGCAGTAGGGCATGTTACTACAACCAATAGTTTCTAGTAAATGCATGAAAAATCTTATACAATACATTTCTATGATTATTATTTCATTTACAATGCATCTTTCTCGTTTAATTCACCATTCCACAAGAAAATAAACAAATTTTACTACATATTGTACACGAACGTACAATATCTATTTTGAATTACATTCATATAGTAGAAACTAAAGAACAATATTGAAATTAAAATTAAATAGAAGATTTTGTTAGTTGAACATGTCTTAAAGACTAATATATATTTTATAATCTATCTAACTAATAAATGAAAGGGAAAAGTAATTTCGGACAATACAACACCTTGTCATCAATTGCCTGATGTTTGTTTATTTTGCTCAAATATATATACATATATGTGATGCTGTGTTGAAAGGGCACAGTATGTGCGCAAGAGCGAAGAGAAATCATCACATCATACATCCTATCTTAGTGCCCATAAGTACAAGGCTCTTTTTCTCGTCGTTTTTTCTTTGCTTAGTATTGTCACATTATCGTTGTCGCTTCTCGACCAAATGCATGCACTTTTTTCTTATATATTATATATATATATATATATACATATACACATATATATCGGATGGGTGCAAGCAGATTCTTTGAGCAGAACAAAAATCTTTTTCTTTTTTTTCTCGCGTACACACACACACACTACTAGCGATGAAGAAAAAAAATAGCTGCTGGGTGCGAAAAGCGAACAAGGCTGTCAATATTACGTAACGATATGTGGGCGCGTGTGTGAACGAGCGTTCTGTTTTTATTATTGACATAATATATTACGATATGAAGTATATATATGCTCTTCTATTTTCTTGTTTCTATAGTAAAATACATACATTGCCTTTCTTTCTTTATATATATATTCTTCTATTAACTAACCATCTACAATAGATGAATAAGATTCGATATAATTAAAAAATGACTAATAAATACATTGTTGCTATGTAATCATTAAGTACGAAAAGAATGAAAAAAGATTATCTGTCATAGTAGAACTATTTTTAGTAAAAGAAAGTTAAGCAAATGCTTTTTTTATACTCATGTAAACATAGAACTATTTTTAGCTACTGAAAAAACATCAAAACATAAAATTTGATCCATAAACTTTACCCTTTTTACTTCTCTGTAAAGTGCATAGGCAATGATCCTGATTAATCAAAAAAGGAACAAAAAAATAAGTTATTTTTATATCATATAGACGAATGAATGAACACAAAAAAACTAAAAAAAGACAGCGGTAAAGTATAATTTTAGATTATTATTCAAAGAAAAATTAGAGATCAGAATAAGCTATTCATCAAAAAATATCATTTATAGAAAAATAAGAGGGTGATTAAAAACTGATAAACGCCTACATATTCTCGGATCCTATTCACATTATATAACTGAACTAAAAAATTCAAGGAGAAAAAAAAATTTGAATTCATGATTTGTATATATATATAAAACTAATTTCAAATATGAATAACATGTTAATGTTATCTTGACATATTGGAGGTTATTTCAAACATTATCTTCTGCTAGGATATTAAAATCTGTTAGTAATAAACAGATATATATATATATACAACTCTATATTAGCTTTCGAACTCGATCTAAGACTTTTTTCTTATTTTGTTTTATCTCGTTCAGTTTACCAAGGACATATGATATGATATAGTTTGTTCATCTTGCATAAGAATAGATATGATAGATAAAAACGCAATGAACTCTATTTCTTCTCTTATCTAGAAAAACATACTTCATTCAACACATAAACTATAATCGATTTTTATTCATTAACTATTGAATAGATAGATGTTTTCATCTATAAACAGATAGTAAAATAATTGTAAAGTTATTTTGGAATCATAATAAAAAAAAGGATAAGAATATCATATTTTTTATACTTTACGTCAATAGGTTGAATCAATATTGTATTAACATATAATAGAAAACATATTACGCAAAAAAAAACGAATAATAGTACAAATGAACTCAACCTATTTCTCTATCATTTAAAACATATGTGACCTTCATTACTTGCCTTTAATATCTTTACGTAAGCGAAAAGAAAAAAAAACAGAGAGAGAGATCGTTTAAAGATCCGTTTGATTTCTTCATTTTTTTGGAAATCTTATTGTTTTATATTATGTTTGCAAGGTTAAACTCGTTTTAGACATATATACATACATAAAATATAACGACGATCAATCAACCTTCAATGTGCCAGTAACATCAACAACGATGATGACAACGAGGTTTTCAAGGTTTGAAGATACTGTTGCTACTATACGTAGCTAATGCTGGTATTTTCTTCTTTTCTTGCTTTTCCACCATAGCGCAATGATGTGTGTTCAAGAACAAATATTGCCTTCTGTGTTCTTTCCTATCTTCTTCTTCTCTCGTTCTCTCTCGAAAATACACAAATGCAATCATCAGCGAACGCCGATAAAAAGAATGTATATGACGCAATCGAATATTCTCTCTCTTTCTGATTCAATCAAGAAGCGAATACACAAGGCAAAGAAGAAGAAAAAAAAATGAGAGAACTTGTCGATCGAGCGCCACTCAAGGTTTTTCTCTGTATGCTTATATATATATATATATATAATAACCTTGAACAGCTGTTCGAACTGGCCGTTGTTGTGTTAAATGAGATATTACTTTTATTCTCAAAACACAATGTTCTTTCTTTCTCTTTTCTCTTTCTTTCTTTCTTTTTTTATTTGCCATTCATACCTCGATTACATATACATTTTTCTGCTTTTTTTCTCATGCAATCTGCTGTTCAAATATACATTTACGAACAAGTAACCCTGAACGGACCTTGAACTGTAATGATGGTAAAAGGGACAGTATATATATATATATATATTATATATATGAAGAAGAAGAGAACGAGAGTAAAAAAGAAGAAAAAAAAAACCTAGGCTTCATTTTTATATTCTCGATTCAATGCAAAAACAGAAAAAAGAAACCTGTTGTAAACAAGAAAAGAAAATAGAACTTGTATAAATGTAATAATAAAAAAAGAACTCCTGTAAGAGTTACGTAACTGAAGTTAACAATACTACTTACCTAACATTTCAATCATTTTTTTTTGATTCATGTTTCTACAAGCATAAAATTAATGAATGTATAGTAAAAAAAGAAAACGATAAATGCTAATGTGTTATATAAAATAAACTTCAATAATGGAATCATTTGTAATTTTTTTTGATCTTATTCGTATTTAAGGTCGTAATGAACAGTACCAAATAATCAAATTCGATTCAAGGATATGTCTTTATGTAATTTTAATAGTTACATATATACATATATACACACATACGTATATGTATATATAGATTCGGATGAACGATAATTAGGAGTATCATTAATGTTGTTATTTTATGAAGCAAAATTTCAATGACAAATATAACTAACTATTTCATAGTTCGAATGTAAATTTTAGTTTTGTAATCAAAGTTCATTTGTTTTCGTAATCAATGAAGATAAATAACGATTCTTTTATTTGGTATCTTATAAACTCATAAGTTATCATTGCATTAATAAATTATTTGAATTGTTACATCATAATTTACGTAATCATGATGCTTTTTTTCTTCTAATAATAATATTATTTAGTAGAAAATGATTGAATTTATTGGATTATTGCTTTGAAATAGATTTTTACATAATAGCTTCATGTTAGTATATAAATTGATCGATATTTTATTCTAATAATTCTTTTTTCTTTTTCTTCTCAATTGTTAATTAATGTTGTTCATATTAGGATTTTAACAGAGATGAAGTAGAAATATATATATTGTTCATTCATTTTGGTTCAGTACAAGCGTTTTCATTTGTATTATTGAAATTTGACATGAATTATTCTATTGGTATAGTCAACTTTGAGCATAACTTGACAAAGAAAATCTTCTTTTTGCGCATTACTACACTTGTCTGGAATAATAAATAATGAATCAATCAATTGTAGAAAACGACAATCATTTAAACAATCGAAATCATCATAGATTCTATTTGCTTCCATATAGATCAAATAAATCAATCTGATAAATTAAATCAACATTGTATCTCATGAGATATAAACGACATTTTGCAATTTTTCTCATAATAAATATATCATAATTTTTTTCAAAAATATATATATAAACCACATCGGACGATATTTTTTTTATATTTA